TTTAAAGATTTTATTTGTTTATTTTAGAAGTGGGGGGAGGACGGGCAGAGGGAGAGGGAGAGGGAGAAGCAGACTCCACACTGAGCATGGAGCCCAATGAGGGGGTCCATCCCAGGACCCTGAGGCCAGGACCTGAGCTGAAATCAAGAGTCGGATTCTTAACCGACTGAGCCACCCAGGCGCCCCCAAGATTTAATGTTCTTAATAATGAATTAGCAATATTCTTCTAGTACATACAACACAGTGTGGGCGCAGCTTTGTGCTGAGTACTTTGGGGGACATCAGAGAGATAAGCCCTGATTCTACCTTCAGGAGCTCGCTATCCTTTGAGGCATGAGGCTTGTGCTCAAAGACAAGATGGGGGCAAGATGATGCTCAATTATGTAATGCAGATTGTAGAGTTCAGAGAAAGGAGAGACCAGCAAAAACTAGAAGAGAGTGAGATAGGAGGAGAGGAACGATACTGACACTTTACACCTAATGAGTACTTGCTGCAAGCCAGACACTGGACCAGATTCTTTCCATGCCCTGCCTCCTTCATGGCCATCCAGAGAGGTACCAGGGTTGTCGCCATTTAACAGACGAGGAAAAAAAATGGAGGCACAAAGAGCTCAAGTGACTTGTGCGCGGTCACATGGCTGGTAAATACTAGAACCAGGATTTGGGTGCAGCTCTTCCTGTGACCGGAGCCTGTGTGTTAATCACCAGGACCCATGGCCGGCGACTTGAGGGGAAGTGGGCAGCAAAAGTGGACAGATGTGTGAAGAGGACAGCTGCCAGGGGGTGGGAGCTGCGGAGGGGACCCCAGCCGTGTTATGAACTATAAATGGGAGCAAAGATAGGATGTGCGATTTGGCCAAGGTCCTGCAGCAAGAGAGGGTGGAGGCTGGGCTGGAAATTCTGGCTGTTGGCTCTCCTTCCACTCTCCCTGGTACCAGCCGCTTTCTGGGCTCTCTCCACCCGTCTGCGCGGCCACGCCTGAAGCGTTTCCCTCTTGGAAGAGGTGCAATCCACTGGCATTGAAGCCGGGTGGACTGGCTCCCTCTCTCTATCCATCTCTTTCCTCCTTTCCCCTGCCATGTTCTGGAAAGGGCAGCGTGGGGGAATGTGGGCAGGTTGCACCAGAGATATACATCTGAGAACTGAAGGAACATTTATTTTTAATTTCGACTTAAAAAGAAAAAAGGAAGTTATAAAATATCTGCTCTTGCTCCTGGGACTGTGCAGATGGTGCTGCGTGTTGCCTAATAGGGAATGGGGCTGGCACCCATGTGCTCCTGGCCCCAGCAGCCTGACTGTAGGACCTGCAAAGTGGGATCCCTGTTCCCCTTGCCTCAGCCTCAGATGGTTCCCTTGGGCCCCGTTTGGGGGCAGAATGCAGCATGGCTTTCTGCTGCCTCTAACCTCACCCTCCCCAGGTCTGCTGATTCTTCAAACCTCCTCCTTTAATGAGACCAGTCTCCTGAGTGTTCCTGCCCCCATGAGCGTGCGCTCTTGCCCCGCTCCATGCACATGCATGCACATCTCAGCGACATCCCACCATCTCCTTCCGCAGTCAGAGCGCACTGATCTCTCCTTCCTGAGCGCTGGTTTGGGTGTTCGCATTTATCAACTTGACATACCCAAGTACCTGAGTAAACCGTCTGGTCATTTCCATGTCCAGATATTATGGACCTTCTTATACATTTTCCTGTTTGGTCTTTGTGTTTATTGTGGTTAGATGCCGTATATTCCTCTCTTCCCGTATTCTCCGTTGAGAGCACCATGGAACCTGGTGCATAGAAGATGCTTGGAAATGGGCATGGGATGATGGAGTGTGATTCTTCCTTTGTGCTCAGGTGAATGAGCTGGAAAAGGAACCCCTCAAATTAGAGAGTTGGAGCCCTCAAACCAGGAATCAGGAGACCTTTCTGACTCTCTAGGTTGCTGGGAAGCCTCGGGCAAATCACGGAATTTCTCTAAGCCTCAGTTTCCCCATTTGTAAAATATAGAAAGTAATCTTTATTTTGTCTGAGCCCCAGAGTTCTGATAAGGATCATGGTAAGTGACACAGGGGAAATGGTTAGCAAAATCAATCAATCAATCTCTTTGTGAACACATAAGGAGTCAGAGGTGCCCATCATGGTTAGAGCAGGAGGTTGGGACAGGAAGCTGGCCAGCTTTGGGCAACAAGGAGAAAAGCTCACAGGTTACAAGGTGTGTGTGTGTGTGTGTGTGTGTGTGTGTGTGTGTGTTACACAGCCTAGGTACTATTTCAGTTTAGTTTAGGCTGTGGTTTATTCTGGAAGAGACTTGATGTCACATTAAAAAAAAAATGCCTGACACCAGAAAATACAAGTGAAGACAAAAATGAGAGAGAAGTTTAGGAAGGGGAAGAAGCTAGGAGTAAAGTGTGGGCACAAAATGCATTCAGTGAGGGTCTGTGCACTGGACAGACGTGAGCCGTGGTGATCTGGCCTGACCTCCTTGACAGTCAGTGCAAAGAGAGACATGGTTAAATGCTCAATGTCTGCAAGACAGATGCAAACCAGATGCTCAGAAGTATAAATTTCTGAGCCCAAGACTAGAAAAATTTCCTCCAGGAGGATTCATAAACAGGACTCTGTGATGGAAGGAGCAATGAGTGTCCTGGACAACGGTTGTCTGGTAAATACAGCGAGTCCCAAGGGGCTGTATCTTATGACACTTCTGATGGCCCAAGCTCAGTGCAGGGGGTGTAAGGGGGATTGAGGAGGAGAGGACAATGTGGCCCATCATATACCCATGCTCTATAAACCAACAGATTAGGGGAGTGAATTGCTGAGTTCCCAACAGTGAAGAACAGCTTTTATCTCTCCAGGCTTTGGGAGGCCGTCAGACATGCACAAGTGTACACAGACATCCACACATGCATGCACGCACGCACACACACACACTCGCTGGATCGCATTGTCAGCTCCCAATTTCAGGCCTCTCGAGGCTCACCTTCCTCTCTGTGGTCTGGCTCCTGGTGGCTGGAGCCTGACTAGGAGGAGACCCTGGGTTCCCAGCGATACTTCTCTTCTGGGCTGGGTGAGGAGGGATTCCCTTTACAGGCAATGGGGCAATCTCAATTGACTTCATACCTGCTACTTGGAACCCGAGAACAGAATTTTAAACCAAGGTAGGACCTCCAAGCTTAACCCCTTCACTCTATTGGTAAGAAAGCTAGAGCCCCAAGGGTACTGTATTCTGTTGGAGACACTGTTGGCCGGAGATCATACAGGGATGGGGCTGAGGCTGAGCTCTAAGCTCTCCTGATTCTCACTCCAGTGCCCTAAGCTGTTGCTGCAGAGAAAAATCAAGCTGGGATCTCATTTTGGGGAGAAAAATCTCATAAGATAATTCCTCATTGGAGCTATGGAATGGCTTTACATTACATAATTTTATTCAAACTGATATGGGCCAATAAATATAAATGTGTGTGTGTGTTTGCTGTCTTAAAACATTTTAATGTTTAAAACATGATTTACAAATGCTGCTGAGGATGTCTAGAATTTGATTTACTGCATAGTATTGAATGTTTATACTTACTCCTTACAGAAATTCTTGCCAAAGAGCCATTTTATCTACAGGAATAATAAATAAGTCAATATGTGGATGGTTGTGCACATTTTTCCCATATGCAGTGGTATTTGGTAGACATTATTTTGCACACAAGCATTCAAAAGGTAAACTTGAGAGAGACACATGGATCCCTGAAGTCCAAAGTTTGGCCAGTTGTCAAGATGAGACAGTTAATCTTGACTTAAACCAAAAAATCAAAGTCAGCAAGTCTAGCTCTTAGGTGACATTCGGGCTTTGGGAATAATGAATTCACACCTAGCTACTGGTACTCAAAATGATTTTTATCTGGGATGCCAGGGTGTCTCAGCCGGTTAAGCGTCGGCCTTCCACCCAGGTCATGATCCCAGAGTCCTGGGATTGAATCCCACATCGGGCTCCTTGCTCGGTGGGGAGACTGCTTCTCCCTCTGCCTCTGCCGCTCCCCCCTGCTTGTTCTTGCTCTCTCACTCTCTCTGAAAAATAAATAAAATCTTTTTAAAAAATAATTTTTATCATATTTTATTTTACTTTTTTTAAAGGTTTTATTTATTTATTTGAGAGAGAGAACATGAGCTGGGGGAGAGGCAGAGGGAGAAACACACTCCCCACTGATCAGGGAGCCCACAGCAGGAGCTCCATCCCAGGACCCGGGGTCATGACCTGAGCCGAAGGCAGCTGCTTCACTGACTGAGCCACCCTGGCATCCCTATCATCATATTTTTTTTTTTAAAGATTTTATTTATTTGACAGAGAGAGAGATAGCAAGAGCAGGAACACAAGCAGGGGGAGTGGGAGAGGGAGAAGCAGGCATCCCGCGGAGCAGGGAGTCCGATGCGGGGCTCGATCCCAGGACTCTGGGATCATGACCTGACCTGAAGGCAGACGCTTAACGACTGAGCCACCCAGGCACCCCCCTATCATCATATTTTAATCCTCACAAAAATCCTATGGGGTGGCCAGGACATGAAAGAGCCGGGTTAGCTGAGTGGAAGTAAAGATGTTCCTTTGGTTTGCTTCTTTGTTTGTATTGTCCCCTGCCCCCAGTTATGGAAATGATACATGTCCAGTGTTTAAAAGAATATAGGAATATTCGAGAAGACTGAGAAAGTACTGTGTCACCTGACCTCCAGAGACATCTACATGCTGGGCTATAGGTTTTTGCTTGGAGAGAGGTATATGCCTATGTTTGTGTATATGGTTATACATACGATGTGATTTCTTTACACAAGTGGGATTGTGCTGTGATAGAATTCTGTAGCCTGGTTCACGTGCATCGGGCACCATCCCACTGTGGCCAACAGTTTATATGTATACATCATCCACCTCAGTTTGTACAGATCCAGTTTACTTTGGTTCGTGGCTGTGTCATTTTTCTTGGCAAACGTGTAGGATGTTTTTTTGCTTTATCCAGGCTTTCCTCTCTTTCTCTCTCGCAGGTAGTTGGTCTTCTCTTGCCCAACCAGACACTGGCATCCACTGTCTTCTGGCAGGTAACAGTCCCTGGCAACAGAGGGCTCCCGAAGGAAGGACCCAGCAAGTGCTCGTTAGAACTGCCTGTCTCAGTGTCTCCCCTCCAGGCCGCTCAGGGAAAGTCACCCCACTTCCCGCCCCTCCCTAGCCCTGTAGCCACTGGGGGAAGCCCGGGACTTCGGATTTTGCTGAGCAGGTCCCAGCAGCCCACACCTAGGCCATTTTATGTGACTCTCATTTTTGCACAAGGGGATGAGGGCTTGTTTGTGGCTCCCTCCTGCTCCTTGGCTATTTGTCCCAAGGCCTGTGACCTCGAGGCCCTCAGCCTTGTTTCGATATAAGCCTCACTCAGATCTGCGGGGAAGGTAAATCCATCACCAACCCCAAGGTAGTGAGTGTTTGGTGCAAGACACTGGGCTGGGATATTTTTGAAAGAGGTTCAGGGCTGTTAGTAATTCCAGGGGCTAAATGTCCACTTTCTGTCTAATAAGTAATATAACAAGGATGGTGTCAAAGGCAGTGAGGCCCGTTTGGGGCCGTGAGCGCCATGATTCTGGGAGAGGGGACGGTCCCCAGGTTGGGAAGAACTGCCCACAGGGGCAAGACCCCTGTCCTGGTTTGCCAGCAACGGAGGGGTTTCCCGGGGTTTCCATGCTGCCACTGGCGCAATGCCGGGCAAACGGGAACAGTTGGTCCTGCTGACCCGTGGGATGGACAGAACCACCTATGAGCTGGAGGCAGCATCCTGTGTCTGGAGGCTGTGGCCACCTGGGGTCCAGGCCCGGCATCCTCCCCTTCCCTGATGTCTCTTCCCTCCCGCCCCCCCGCCCCGTTGCCTTTCAGTGGCTGAACCAGAGCCATAACGCTTGTGTCAACTATGCAAACCGCAATGCTACCAAGGTGAGCACCACAGACCACCGTGCAGTGGTGGGGAGCAGGCCGGGGGGCACCCTCATCCTCCCTTCAGTGTGGCATGCCACCATCGGGGGCTGCTTCCTCTGAATTAAGTCTTGTGCTCCTCTAAGCACCTGATTTAAACTGCCAACCCTTCTAGAATGGCCCCGCTGGGGAGGGGCTGCTCACATGAAGTGAAGAAAGCCCATGAAATGGAAATAGAGTGGAGGCGGTGAGAGGGAGGAGCTCTGTTGGCTTCAGCATCCTCCTTGGGCAGCTCTTATCCCCAGATCTTGGATTAGGATGGCATCAGCCACATGGGGACCAAATTCCCCTAAAGCTTCCTCCAAGCTTGCCTGGAAGCTGTCTTGGTGCCCCCAGACGATCGGCTATAGAGCTGAAGGGCTGCTCTTGAGGGGTGAGGGGTCTGAGGGGACCGGCCCCCCCTCCCCCCAAGTCCCCTGCGCTCCTGGGACAAGCTCTCGGTGAAGGCCCTGTCGCCCTTCCCTCTTCTGGGAAGCAGCTGGGTCCCTGCTTCACTGGCAAGGCTGTCTGTCCTGCACTTCTGTCCCAAGGCAGGGAGAGGGGAGGAGGAGTCCAGGTCCCCTTGGGGGGCTGTCGCTTGGGGAGGGGAAGGTGTGGGCATTCTCTAACCCTGGGGCAGAGAAGGGAGAGCTAGGGGCTGGCCTGGGTGGTAGAAACTTCCTGGCCTGAAACTCTGAGGACGCCCCGCTTCCATCCGCATCTCGCACATGCGACCCATACGTGTATACCCCTGCTTGGATGGCTCCTGTTTGCCTTAAACCAAACATCTCCAAAACTGCCGTCAGAGCACAGTTAAAGGCAAGTTCCTCAGCTCCTTCTCAATGTGATCCATTGCAACCTGGGTTGCATGTCTCTGTAGAAACGCTGAGCAACTGTCATCTGTTGGCCTGGCAGCCCGGTTACCACCTGGGTTGACAAGGCGCGGGAGAGCCAGCCAGGTGTAGCCAGCCATTTCCACCTGGGTGGTCCTCCAGGTACCAGCAGCCCACGTCCAGCATTCGGTCCTCCTCCCCTGGCCCTGCTTGCCCTAGCCATGAATGACCCATTTTGGCCCTTGCCGTTGTCTACCTCCAGCCAGCAGGGTCTGCCAGTGAGCTCTAGAGAACAGGGCGAAAGTGCAGCAGGCCCGTTGGCTTCTCCTGGGACATTGCTGCCCTGTATTTCCATGTCTGGCGCTGTGCTGAGGGAGGCCCAGATCCCTTTGGCTTCCAGAGGGACCTTTGCCTTCTCACCTGGTGGTGGGCGGGAACGTCTCTTGCAGGCTGGGGCTGTTGGCAAGGGCGGGGTATGGCAGCTTTGGGCACCCAGTGGGCCTGGAACTCTGTCTCTCTGCCTTCCAGCCTTCTCCTGCGTCCAAGTTCATCCAGGGCTACCTGGGAGCTGTCATCAGTGCCGTCTCCATCGCCGTGAGTAACTCTGTCCCTACTTTTCTGTCCTGCTGCTCTGCGGCTGCCCCCCTCCTCAGCAGCTCTGGCCAGACCTGTCTGAGGTCAGGGCCAGGTGAGGGTGTGGGAGACAGAGGGTCGTGTGGGTGGGCCGCCAGGGCAGGCTTTCTAGGCAGAGAAGATTCTGGTGACGCTTTAATAGGCATGAACTTGAATAGAGAGAGTGCTGCAGATTTTGGAGAGCAGGTGGGGAGGTGAGGTGGTGCCCACGAGTGACGCAAAGGGCTGCACACTCCAGCTGAGGGCAGGGGGTCTGTTGCTAGAGGGGTCTGTGTTTACCTAGCACCCTCCCTGGAGGAGCCGCTCTTCACTCTCGGTAATGTGGCTGATGCAGGAAGCAAGGGGCTCAGGAACAGTTGTAAAGCTGGGCCACAGGCTGGCTCCCCTTTGCTCTCTGCCTGAGCTCCCAGGGCACTGTTGTCCCTCTCGTAGGCCTTGGTCAAGTGGTCACATGTCCACTTCCTCCCGGAGGCCTATAAGCTCCTCAAGACGGGGGCGCTAGGTTCATTTGAATCCCACAGGACTTTGAGAGTAGAGCAGAATAGAACTAGACTAGGTTTGTAAACTGACTATGTGAGCATAAGGCTGGATCCCAGATGAGGGCTGAGTGCAGGTGACGCAGCGAGGGGCCTGGGCCAGAAGCAGAGTGGAAGCTCAAGTTCCCAGGACCTTGGCTACACTCGTCCCGCTCTTGAACCCACCTTGCACCTCCATCTGTACTGTCTAGATCCTGGCTGGGTGGTCTCCTATAGCTGACTCCAGAGGGTAAAATTCACTTCACAACTTCATTATTTTATTCATCACGCAATAAATACACGCAGTTGGTAAGAAAACACCTAGAAAATTCAAATTTAAAAATTCACATATAATGAAAGAATTCACATATAATAATCTTTTTGCAAATCCCACTTTCCTCATCTTTCTCATGTCATTAAGTATAATAATTGTTCACAGCTATGTTCTAAACCACTGTACCCTACACCATCACTGATTCCACTGTTCTGGGAAAGTAGGGATTTGGGATTGTTTTGAGATGGCTTCATTTACTCCGCTCCCATGTAGACCACATCCTCTCCAAATGCCCTGTTGGGGAGTGATCCCCATTTCGTGCCCAAGATCGAGCTCCCTCCCTGAATCCTTGTCGTACCCCAAGCAAGAAGCCGGACATTGCCAGATCTATTCAGATGACTTGCCGAGAGACTGCAAACCCCACCCTGGTGGTCCTCAACCCAGCAGAGACTTCATTTGGGGTCATGCAAATTGGCAGTCCCTGCTTCTGGGGGGCTACTGGCAGAGGTCAGGGCTCTTGTGAGGGAGGGAAAGGGGCTCTGTTGCCTCCTCCTTGCTCTTCATGACAAGAGGAGCTGATGGCCCTACCTGGTTCAGCAGCTTGAAAATCCCATTTTCCTTCTTGGAGATGAAGGGTGAGGTGGGGCGGAGCTGAGAGGAGGAAGCCCTGACACGGATAGTACTGAGCAGCCCTGACTGGGACGGGCTTGAGTGAAGGGGGCCACTGTCCTGCTGGGACGTCCTCCTCCTGCAGGCATGGTGCTCCAGGCTCTCTGCACCCCCATTCCTCACTGTCCCATGCAAGGGGCCCTTGGTCATTCCATCCCTACCACTTCCTAGGATCAGAGCTAGCCCAGGTTGTGGGGTGGGGGCTCTGATGCGCACGCCGCAGTTACTGGGGACCCTCCGGGCCCTCAGAGCCAGGGTCTTACCCTCAAGGACTGAGGGCCTCACGCTGGGCTGTCACAGCCCTCAGGGACTGTGCCTGTGCTGGGGACACTCTCCTTCCAACTCCCTGCCTAGCTGCAGAGCGCTCAGAGACTTTTCCTGACCACACCAGCCCAGACTGTCCCCCACCCCCAAGTCCTAGAAACTTCTGTCCTTCCCACACACTCAGTTACACCCTGTGTCCTGTCCTGTCATTGTTCCACTGGATTACAAGTTAACCAGGGACAGGCCCTGTGTCTTCTCCCCCACAGAGGGGGCGCAAGCACTGCTCCATAAATACTTGTTAATTAGGTTGCTGATAGATTGCCGGCCTCAGGAGGCCCCTCTCCGCCTCGATCCTCGGGCTCCGCGGTGGCGGCGTCCCTCTGCCTGACGTCTTCACACAGTGAGGGTCTAACTCTGGCAGATGGAGCGGAGTTTCTGACTTGGAAAATCTGCAGCTTGCTTGCTTTTCTTTTGTGTGTGTAAATCACAAAACCTCCAAAGAAAGAGGCTTTATTTTATTTTCCTTTCCCTTGTTCTCTGGAACCCTGGGCCCGCGGCCTCATTAACTGATCTCTGCTTCAATTAGTGACAAATCCCCTCCCAGGGAGAACCTGTTAGGAAGAGATGACCTGCAAACAAGTGTCACGGCCCCAGTGGTTGGCCAAGCTCTGGCATTAATTAAACGAGTCCCTACAAGCAGGCGGTGTGGATGGGGCGGGGGGCTGACAGGCTGAGGGCAAATCTCAGGGACTGGGGACAAGCTGGCCTAGAGGCCAGGCCCTGAGAGGCCAGCCTTCTCCCTGGACCTTTCCTCTCCCTCAGAAAAGCCAGAGCCCTGACCTTGGCCAGCCCCACCCCCAGAATCAAGGACCCCCAGTTTGCCTGGCCCCCTGAATGAAGTCTCACGGTGGCCCGGGACCCCCAGTGCAGGGGTAGCAGCCTTTTGGTGAACTCTCTAAATAGATTTGGCAATGTCTGGCTTCTTGCTCAAGAATAAAAAAGAAATTTTGTCTTAAGTTATTTTTGAAATCTAACAGTTTGCTGTCTTTTAACAAAGGAAGCCTGTGTCAGTCCTCAGTGTATTTGAGTTTGGGGGTTAATGTTGAGCACTTCTGTGGTCAGCCTCCCTAGGCCCTGGCTACCCAAGCGTGAGACCCATGCCCTCCCTTCAGGGGTGTGTTTGTGCCAGGCATTTGGCAGGTGCTGGGGGGCGGGGATCACACAGATTGGTGTGTCCTTCAAGATGCAGAGAGGAAAAGCTGAGGATTCTCTGTGGTAGAACCAGAATCATGATGAAGGTGACCCTTGGGTGTGGTGGGAACTAGGGAAGGGGCCCCTCAGTCACACAGGGCCAAATCTTCCAGGATAGAGCAGAGAGAGCTGAAGGCAGGGTTGGGGGATCCAGGTAGAGGGCGCAGCACGCGGAGAGACCCACAGGAGAATGTGGCCCACCCCAGGGTGGTGGGGAGATGAGTGCGGCCGCCGTGGGCCGAGTGATGGGGCGGAGGTGATGGGGAACTGGGGAGGAGCGGGGCCGCTCGTGAAGCACTCACAGGGCCTGCCCAGGAGGTAGGGGGCCACGCCAGCCGCCCTGTCTCCACTCAGGGAGCGGGGGCATCACAGGGGGTGCAGGCAGAGTGGGCTGGGGGAGAAGTCACGGTGGGGTGGCAGGCCCGGCAGATGACCTCCCTCATGGACACCAGGTCCTGGATGAGAACGGACCTGTGGCTGTAGAGAAAGGCTCAGGACTAAAGTCCTACATGCTGGTCAGGAGCTGGTTGGTGGATCCAGAGTAGGAGAGACACTCTATGCCTGGTCCTCAGACCCCTCACGTGCAGCCAGGTCGTAGGTGGCTGAGGTCTTTCCCCGTTGGGGCACTGCTGATCTCCATTCCCAAAGGGTCTGGGCCCTGAGGGGTCCTTTCTGTATAGGATACAGTGATTGTCTGTTAACCTTTACTAGATACTGGAGTACAAGGAGGTGTCCCGGGGGGCCCCTGGGCTTGAACCCCTACCCCTCCCAGTTCTCATTGCCCACTGGCCACTCCAAGTCCCAGTATTAAAGTAGCAAATAATCACAATAATCATAATGGCTAAAATTTCTGGAGTGTCTTCAGTGTGCCAGGTACTGCTCAGGTGCTCCTCTTGATTTTTACAAATGAGGAAACAGAAGCATAGAGGTGAAATCCCAGAACTGGGATTCAAACACAGGCTTGATCACACGCTATTCTGCTAATACAAAGACCCCTTTTTCTTCCTGCTCCCACTGTGGCCTGAGGAGGAGGGAAAAGCCAAACAGTGTTCTTGGCTTCCAGTTTAGAGGAACTGTTACCATGCCTCCTGGCAGTTAAGTCTGCCCCCAGGTACCCTGAGAACAGCGGGGAAAGGAAACTTTTGAGAGGCTCTTTAGGTGTAATGGGGTTAGACCCTCTATCCAACTTCATACTTGGTTTCTGCACCTGTGTTTTCTGGCTAAGGTTGAGTCAGCAGCGTATATTTGTCCTTGGTCTGGAGCATGCCCCTCCTCCTGCAAGACCATGTCTGGCTGGTTCTGTGGTCGAGGGTGGTTCTGTGGTACCTCAGGGTGTTCTCTGTGATCCAGGGTGTACCTCAGAGTGTTCCCTGCGATCTAAGGTGTACCTCAGTGTGTTCTCTATGGTTGAGGGTGTACCTCAGAGTGTTCTCTGTGATCCAGGGTGTACCTCAGGGTGTTCTCTGTGATCCAGGGTATACCTCAGAGTGTTCTCTGTGGTTGAGGGGTGTACCTCATGGTGTTCTCTCTGATCCAGGGTGTACCTCAGGGTGATCTCTGAGTTCAAGGGTATACCTCAGGGTGTTCTTTGTGATCAAGGGTGTTCCTCAGAGTGTTCTCTGTGGTCAAGGGTATAACTCAGGGTGTTCTCTGTGGTTGAGGGTGTACCTCAGAGTATACCCTGTGACCCAAGGTATATCTCAGAGTGTTCTCTGTGGTTGAAGGTGTACCTTGAGTGTTCTCTGTGATCTAGGGTGTACCGCAGGGTGTTCTCTGTTATCCAAGGTGTACCTCAGGGTGTTCTCTGTGATCCAGGGTGTACCTCAGGGTGTTCTCTGTGTTCAAGGGTATACCTCAAGGTGTTCTTTGTGATCAAAGGTGTTCTTCAGAGTGTTCTCTGTGGTCAAGGGTATACCTCAGGGTGTTCTCTGTGGTTGAGGGTGTACCTCAGAGTATACCCTGTGACCCAAGGTATACCTAGGAGTGTT